AAGGTCCCATTGCATAGCACAGGGATCTATATTCAATACCTTATAATAGCCTATAATGAAAAAGAATATGAAAAGGAATATATATATGTGTAAGTGAATCACTATGCTGTACACCAGAAATTAACACCACATTGTAAACTGAGTATACTTCAATTTAAAAAAAAATTTTTTAAGTTTGGATTTCTATAATTTTGGATACCATTAAAAAAAATCACAAATATATATATGACGGGACAGGGTTTCACATTCCCTATCACTTCCTTCCATTTTCTAGACTGTTTAATTCTAAAGACTACATTATTAGAAGGGCTGGGGGATTTTTATTTGTTTGTCCCAAATAAAATTCATCTTTTTTTTTCTTTTATAGAAGGGTATTTTTAAATAATATTACCTACAGTAGTGAAGGAGAAAAAGTATCAGTGCAATGAGGAAAGATCTAATTGCATTAGATATTTTATCTGGGGGTCAGACCCTTCATGGGGACTTTTTCCCTCTGTCTCAAGCATACTCAAGTTTTGAAACCTGCTCACTATCAAAAGCAGAGCCAGCTGGAGCACAGGAAGACTGACAATGTCCTTTGGAGGCAAGACCCAGGAAGAACTGGAGCTGAGACTTCAAGGAGTGAGTGTATCAAAAGAACTAAGAGACCGTGTGTGTACAGAGCAGTGCTGTCCAATAGGAATATAATGCAGGGCACAAATGCAAGCCACATATGTCATTTAAAATTTTCTAGTGGCTAAAAACAGTAAAAAGAAACAGGTGAAATTAATTTTTATAATATGTTTTATTTAACTCACTATATCCAAAACATTATCATTTCAACAGTTATTAATTAATAATTTTACATTCTTTTTTCATATTAAGCCCACAATATATATTGTATTCTTACAGCACATCTCAATTCAGATCAACCATGTATCAAATGCTCACTCTCTACATATGACCAGTGGCTAATGTACCAAACAGCAGAGATAATGAAGATACAAAGAAGACTGTGAGAGATTCTCTGGCAACCTTGGCGTTACCACATGTTGTTCCCCCAGAGTCCAGAACTAAGTACTCCATGATTGTGACTGGAGCTTAGGGACAAGTAAAATAGACTAAAACATTCCACAGGCTTGTGGACTTGTGGACTTTGTGTGGTTTGGGTTACACGGCCTGAAAAGGAAGCCATGACAAAACATTTGGGATTTTGTAAGTGTATTAAATTGGCCAACATGAACATTGCTTTATTATAGAATAAAACACCTTCCTCTCACATAGCATGGTGCATTATTCTGTGCAGGCTGCCATAACAAAATATCATAGACTGGGTGACTTAAACAACAGATATGTATTTTCTCACAGTTTTGGAGGTTGGGGAGTCCAAGGTCAAAGTGCCAGCTAGACAGATTATATCCTGAGGGCTCTTGGCTTGTAGGTTAGCCACCATCTGACTTTACGTTCAGGTGGCCTTTCTTTAACCTGTGTACATGGTGAAAGAGAAAGATAGCTCTCTCTTCATGCTCTTAAAAAGCCACCTGTTGGCTTAGGGCCCTACCGTCATGACCTCATTTAACCTTAATTGCCTGCTAAAGGTCCTGTCTCCAAACACAGTCATATTGGGGGTTAGGACTTTAATATAAGAATTTGGCAAAGGGACAGTTTTGTCCAGAGAGTATAGGCTTAGTGTTCAAGACACATACATAGAAAGTATTTTATAATGAAGAAATAAAAATGAAACCTAGGAAGTGGCGGAATGCCACTGTAGAGTGTTGCTGAAAGTACTGCACTCTCACCTGTGAGTTAAAGGCTCTGGCCCCGTTCATGGCTGGGTCTGCCACTTACTACTACGTGAACTGAGGCACATCACTTACTTTTCTAAGTTTCAATTTCCTTATCTGTAAAATAGGTAATAAACACCTATTTCACAGGTGTTTGTCAGTTTAATAATGGATGTTGAAGAGCTTTTAAACTCTAGTACTATTTAGATTATTGGTGATGTCAAATTACGATATCTTGTACATAGTAAGCACTGAAAATAAATACTTTAGAAATGACTTCAACATAGTAATGATGATATATTTCATTATATGCATCAGATAGTGTTAACGCCAAAGCTCTATATCAATATAAGAGAGGCTTTGTACCATTACTAATGCCAAGAATCCATTTATTTCCTCCTTTGATTCTTAGAACACACATTAAATCATATAAGCTAATACTACTTGTCAGAAGCATTAGTTCTTCAATGTTCCCAAACCAATCCGTCAACAAATCTTGTCAGTTACATTTCACAATATATCCAGAATCTAACTATTTCTCTTCACCTGCCTCAGCTACCACCATCCAAACCACCTTCATCTCTCACAGAGAGTGTTAAAATAGTTTCCTCACTTTTCTCTTTTTTCTGTTTTTGCCCGCCCCCTTCCCTATCCTGTTCTCAGTGCAGTAATCACAATGATGCTATTAAATTATACATCAGAACATGTCTGCTCTGCTCCAAATCCTTCAGTGGCTCTCACCGTCAAGCCCTTGCAGTGACCCACCAGCACCTACTTGATCACTTCCCCTTGGTCCTCATCTCCTACTACTTTCCCCCTTGTTCACTGCGTTCCAGCCCCACTGGCTTTCTTGCTCTTCCTTGAATGTGCCAAGCACATTCCTGCTTGTTCCAAGCACACAAGCACCCCTTGTGTCCTTTCTACCTAGAATGTTGTCCTCCATATCCATTTGACTCATTCCTTTACCTCCTTCAGGTCTCTATTCAAATGTCACCTTGCTGAGACCTTTGCTCACCACCTTATTTAAATACACTACACCCTACCTCTACACTGGCATTTTTTCTTCTCATTCCCTGCTTTATTTTTCTCTGTAGTACGTATCATTGTCTTATACTGCTTATCATGTAACACATAGCATCATCGTCTATTTCTTTGTTTATTTTGTTTATAATCTGTCTCCCCCACCAGCGTGTAAGCTTCTTTAGGATCAGAATCATGTTTTGTTTTTTCATTGCTAAAAGCCAGTTTAGGTCATGGTAGGTATTCAGTAAATACACACTATATACGTGAACAACATCCATCCTAGTTAAACAGAAAAGGATTTTTGTTCTGTTTTGTTTTTATTTTTTAAAAAATTTTAGGTAGGTTTATTTGTTTATTTAATGGAGGTCCTGGGGGTTGAACCCAGGACCTCATGCATGCTAAGCATGCACTCTACCACTGATCTATACCCTCCCCACAGAAAAGGATTTTTTTTTAAGGATATTGCATAGTTACCAAATTTTTTAAAAAGGAGGCAAGATGCTGACTTGGAAGCTCTATAACCAGGAACTATGTGGCTTCTTACTGCAGTTTCCATTGGACACAGTTGTCACTATTGCTGACACTCTCCAGGACGTCTGCCCTACTGCCTCTGAATTTGTATATCTTTGCCTTGCAGCTCTTCCCTCATCAAAAATATGTTCCATGAGATGCCTTGCTTTTCCCATTACTTTCTTGCAAACTGAAGCCTCTCAGATTTCTGATGGTTGGTTGGTTTGAGGCTCTGTCACATCTGCAGGCCCTAACTGGAAAGGAGCCTGGGAAAGCAAGTCGGCGTCTCGCCTCCTAGCTCGGAGGGATAAACTCACATGGTAGAAGATTCCCCAGATAATGGAAGTATGTTCAAAATATGCTGGACAGCCACAAAATATAAATGTCCTTCTCTGGCACTGAATTCTATCATTTTTTTAAAAATTCTGAATCAGGAGACCTGAATTTAGTTTTAAAAACTGTTTAAATATGGAGATTCCTCAAAAATCTAAAAATAAACTTGCCATATGATCTAGCAATCCCACTCCTGGGCACATATCTAGAGGAAACTCTAATTCAAAAAGATACATGCACCCCAGTGTTCATAGCAGCACTATTTACAATAGCCAAGACATGGAAGCAACGTAAATATCCATGAAGAGATAACTGGATGAAGAAGTTGCAGTAGGGGGGAGGATATAGTTCAAGCGCTAGAGCACATGCTTAGCATGCACAAGGTCCTGGGTTCAATCCCCAGTGCCTCCTCTAAAAATAAATAAATAAATAAACCTAATTATTACCCCTTAAAAAAAAGTTGTAGTATATTTATATTTATACAATGGAATACTACTCAGCCATAAAAAATAATAAAATAATACCATTTGCAGCATTATGGATGGACCTAGAGATCCTCATTCAAAGTGAAGTAAGCTGAAAGAGAAAGAAAATACCATAAGATATCACTCATATTTGGAACCTAAAAGAAAAAAAAAGACACAAATGACCATATTCACAAAACAGAAACAGACACAGATACAGAAAATAAATTTATGGCTGCAAGGAGGGGAAGAGGAGGGAAAGGATAAATTGGGAGTTCGAGATTTGCAGATACTAACTACTATATAAACAACAAGTTTCTTCTGTATACGATAGGGAACTATATTCAATATAATGAAAAAGTATAAGAAAATGAATATATGTATGTATATGTATGACTGAAACATTATGCTGTACACCAGAAATTGACACATTATAAACTAACTAAACTGCAATTTAAAAAAAAACTTTGTTTAATCCAGAATTTGTTTCCAGTAGCAACCATTAAACAGTCTGTCTGCTTTCAAATTTACTTTCCTTATTCCTGACTTTGCTTCTAAGCTTTATCAGTTGCATATTTTCTTATTAGACATCCTGGTAAATAATAGCCCACATCCACTGCCTGGAGTATGATTCCATCAGGGACTTTATTCATTGTCTGGGGGGTGGAGTGAGTCAACAACATGAAGCTTCACTTATGGAAAAGGAGTAAGAGTGTGAGCCCATTATCAAAAAAAAGCAGCAGGGGTGTAAAATATTGGGCCATCTCAGAGCTTCTTGCCTGTTAACCATAAAACCCAGGGTATTCAGCAGGCAGGTCAGTGAGCAGCCTACTGCCCAGGTCAAATGGTATACTAGACTCTATGACTAGTCTTGACACCGTTTAACTACTTTTTCTATAACCTTTCATTTTTCTTTTTCTTTTTTTTTTTTTTGCAAGTCTATTACAGGAATGACTCTGCTAAATTAGAGATTTAAGTTCAGAATTCACTGTCATTGCTGGAATAACATGTAGCAGTGCAAGTTAATGAATAATTATTTTTTGTACTATGGCCTCTGATTGCAGTTCACTTGTCACAGCCATGTGGGTTTAGTAATTACTCTTTTGACACTTTCTAAAATGTTTTTAGCTTTTTAAAAACATTTTGCTGCTATTTTTAAATTTTTCTTTTGTTTAGTTCTTTTCTATTTATTATATTCTTCCATTTGCCCTAATTCTTTGGAAAGACCATCAAAGGCTCTTGATGGTCTACTTCTGTTTAAGTGTAAAGAGGAAGTGAAATTCTTCAACTGGTTTTTTCCTTATTGTAAGTAAGTCAAACCCATGGTCAAACTTGTTTACCATTTCACAGGCACAGTTTAGGCATCAGCTTTCAAGGGCGTATTTTCAGCTTGTTACAAACCATGCTTTGGCCTCCCTTTTCCAAAGTCCCCTCCTTCTAAACCAGGAAATTCAGGGCAGGGGCAGTATTATTCTCCTCCCATTTCAGTTTCTCTGTAACTGCTGTGTCCAGAAGTAAATATGGCATAGCCAAAATTAATACCAGAGTCAAATCAATTCAACCCCTTAAAAAAAAAGAGGCTAAAAAGATGGCCTGGATATTTTTAGAAATAATCAGTGTAAAATTTCACAGAAATCTGATATATATATATGTGTGTATATATGATATATATGTGTATATATATATTTTTATATATAGATGTCTCATAAAAGTATTTCCAGCAAGCTACCCAAAGACAAGGAAAGGAATTTTGACGGTGTTGGAGATAGCAGAGTGAAGTTGGTGGGAAAAAGAAGCTGTAATGAAGCATGTCCATGCTGCTGTAATATTTGAAAGTTCACAAGAAGCTGAGAATAAAATAGAGCAAGATTCTAGCCCTGTGTATCTTTTTGCCTTCCTATCCTCACTTGCATAGATATTTGAGGCAAGAAGAGAAGTATTATCCCGTATTTCTCTCTCCCTGATTCTCAAGAGTGATGGTGAAATGGACAGAGCTGGACGATAGGAAAAAGTATTAGTATTAAGATGCATGGGTAAGGACTCCAGAATTTAGAAATACACAAATACACACACATACATACACATATTTGGTAGAAGCTGGTGGGCATTGCCTTTAATATGCAGTTTTGAACTGTGACTCAGAGAAGCAGGATTCTTCAACAGCGGCTCTATTGACATTTTGAGGGGTCTAATTCTTTGTTGTGACAGGCTACCCTGCACCTCGTATGATGTTTAGCAGCATCTTTGGCCTCTACTCACTAGATGCTACTAGTTTCCAGCTGTGACAACCAAAATGTCTTCAGACACTGCCAAAAGATGCCACTGGTTGAGAATCACTGCTGCAAAGCCAACATGATGTGGTGAGGCGGGAGAACACGGGAGTGAGCTGGGCAGGCAGGCTAGTAATGCTGGAGAGGCAAAATTGCGAGGGTACCTAAGGAGAGATGGGAGGAGATGGTGGATGATGAAACTGAGTGGAATTCTGGGACAGGGCATGTGGGTCCCTATAAGAGAGGGAAAGGGTCCTAGAGGCTGAGAGAGCCTTTTAGGAATGTAACAAAAAGTCATGCGACATTGAAGGGGAGAGCGTGCTTGGTCTTCTGATGGTGGGGTCAGAAGGGAAACAGGCAATACCTTAACTACTGCCTAACTGTGGTGAGTACCTATGGTGGTAAAGTTGCTGTGCTCTTTCTATAGGAAATTGTGACTTATCTTGCTCACTGTGAGTAAGGATGCATGGCGATCCCAACAGGCCCCACTGAGGAGAAACTGAGGTCCCTATGCTTTGGTAAGTCCTTGCAAGACTTGCTTTATCTGTCAGCTGACTCCTAGCGAGCAGTGGTGGACTACATTCATCTGATTTATATATATACCTCTTGCCCTATGTTGTGGCGTTCCATGGCAGGTCTGCAGGCCTCAATCTCATTTACTCTCTGTGATTCCAACTCTAACAAACCAAAACGTCAGAGTTTGGAGCAGAGAAAGGTTTACTGCAGGGCCAAGCAAGGACCACTGGTTCATGTTGTGGGACAACGTGGTGGCTGGTTGGTGACATGGTGACACACGGGTTGGTAAAAGAATTTACCAAAGTATGAGAATAGAGAGGAGTTTATTAGGGTTCGCTGCTATAGGCAACAGCGGGCCACACAGATGAGAGGTGCCTGTGTGAGCCCCAAGGGCCAGTTGTTGGGGTCTTTTATAAGGTTGGTTCACAAGGTGCATGACTGCCTTGTGCATAGGTCTCTGCTTGTAGGTGAGGTAATAAGTTTAGGATGAAGGGCGGTGGGGCTTATGACTCTGATAAGGTGGGCTGAAACAAGCCAGCCTGAGAATTATCGAGGGCAATTAGTCTGTTAGGGGAAACATGCCCAGTAAAGTATGTCCTTTATCTGTTGAGGGATCACAGGCAGACATCTGAGAGACCAGGAATATGGGTCGTTGGACTTTGAAGGACATAACTTGGCCCAATAGCTCATGCTCAAAACCCCTGAACTCTCCCATGTTTTGGGGGGAAAATTTTTATAGGCAAAATTTGGGGTGAGGACTGCAGGGTGTGTGTGACTTTCTTCTGATTGGCTAGTGGTGAGGTAATAGGGTGGTATTCCAGGAACCTTGTGCTCCGCCTGAAGCTGCCATCCTCCACCTGGCTGGGGGCTTTAGTTCTTGCAGAACTCAAAGATAGTGTTGTGTATATTCCTTGAGGGGGAACCTGGACCCTGCTTCAAGGCTGCACTATTGATTCCAGACCCTTCCTCCCTTAAGTGCATTCCCTCCCTTCCCTAATTAGCAACTGTTTGAATCTGCCCTTTGGAGCTCAGGGAAGGTCAAGAAGGCTGAATGAAGCCTACTTCTTACAAACAAGAAATAGGAGACAAGGAAAGGATTTGCACCAGAGAGGGCCCCACAGGGTCCTGCTGTTTCTGATGAATGAGATAATGCCCATAAAGTGTGTGGCAATTAGTAAATGATCAGTATTACTTCTACTGCTACTATCATACTTTGAAATTATCTAATTATTTTTAAATTTTCTGTCTCCTCCAATAGAAAATAAGCTCTATGATACTGGAATCTGACCTGTTTAGTACATACAGGGAGCTGCTGAATATGTCTCAAGTTGAACATTAAAATAAAGTAAGAATGAGATTTCTCAAAAGAATTTAGGATCAAAGGAAATTTCCTTAAGGAACTTTAAAACTGACACTGTTACCTGAAAATTGGGTTCACCTCTTGGTGGATGTCGAGCTAAGAGACGAAACCGAGCCAAAGATCAGGAGAAGGAAGGATTTATTACTTGCAGCAAGTACGGAGAACACTGGGAATCTTTCACAAAGCAGTGTCTCCCCAACAGCAAAACTGGGGATATTTTATAAGCTAAGGATACATGTATATACATGAAGGGGCTTGAACAGAGGAGAATTCAGCATAGAATTGGGGCAAAGGCTGACAGAGTCCAAGCTTTAGTTGACTGAAGTCATGAGGGTAAGAAAAGGTCAACACCATCATTCTGTCCTCCACCTGAGTGGGGGCCTTAGTTCCTGCAGAACTCAGAGTCATTCATCAGATTGTTATGTATATCCCTTGAGGAGGAACTAGGACTCTGTTTTATTGCAGAACTATTGTTTCTTGACTGCTTTCCCTTTGTTCCTACACTCCTTCATTTCCCTTAAGATCATTAATTACTGAGACCTGTTCAAGGGCAAGTACTGTTGTCAGGCTTAGATCACAAAACAGCTTTGGCCAAAAATGGCTTCTCTTATGTCAAGAAAGTCTTGGTTCTCTTTCTTTAGGGACCCCCTACCTTGTTTGCTTACAACATTGCCTTAATTTTTAGCAACTAATTACTTTTAAAACAAACCACCATGCATTCCATTCAGTTAATTTACTTGTGTGAGGCACTGTTTTAACCCCTGGGAAACAGCAATGTGCAAAACAAAGATTTCAGCATCATGATGCTTACTTTTTATTCTGAGGCAGAAAATTTTTTTAAAAAATACATAATTATTTCAAATATCTATAGGTGTCTTAAAGATAAGTATACAGGGCAACAGAGCAGAGAATAAGGAGGCCTATTAGGGAGCATCAGGGAGGAAATCTTCCTCTGCCCTTCTAAGTTTTTCTGGTGGTCTAAGAATTAAATGAGGCAGATTAATAGGGGAAAAAAAATCAAATTTTAACATGTTGACAAGGGAGAGATCAAGGAAAACTGAATAAGTAACTCATCAAAATGGTTGAAACCTTCACCTTAAATACCATCTTCAGTTAAAGACCAAAGAAGATGTTGAGGGTAGTAGTTCAGAACTTCGGGGTGGGGGCGCAATGACAGAGCTGAAAAAGCCAATTTTGGTGGGCCATGCAGAAACAAAAGACACAGGAACTTTAACAGAACTTGCTAGGTTCTCGCCTACATATCTAGTTCATAATATGGTTGAAAAGCCCCCTTCTTGGAATAGGTCGTCTATCTATATTCTTCTAGGCAGTTAGGGGAAAGGTCAAATGTGAGGAGTCTTTGGGACCTTAAAATAATTAGCCTAAATTAACTCTCATGCCAAAGAAACACATTTTGGGGTGGCAAGTTTGCTCCCCTACAATAGCTAGGGTGGTCAAGGCAGGCCTCTTTCCAGGCATGAGCTAAGACCTAAATGCACATGTCAGATAAACATAGTTAATGCCACTGAGTGTTGTTCTGGTCTTTCTGGGACCACACTGACTCCTATTTATGTGTCTGCACATTTCGTTTTACCCAAATTATGAATGCATAAGCCATGTTTTATTATATTACACCGGGTTGTGAGGTTCAGAGGTTAGCAGTGCAAGTAACTGATTCCCTGGGTACTTGCCTTCATGATACTGGCCACACGATAGTGTTAACGATGTACTGAGGACATTGTAGCCTAAGCTTGGACTTACCCAGGGAAGGCTTCTCAGAGAGAGTCTCAGAAAGCTATTCTATCTTCCCACCCTACCTCCCATTTCCAACACCAAAGACCAGAATCTGAGCCCAGAAAACAGAAAAGTAGGCAGAGCCCCCAAAGGCTGTCATTTCTATGAAAGCTTTCCTGGCTGTTAAGAAGCAAACAGTTCACCTGTAGACCTCCAAGCAAGACGCAAAAACAAGCGCTGAACACTACACGAACGCCAAACTTCCCGCGCAGCCGCACTCTCCCCAGCTGCTCCGGGTCCGTGGGGGCGAGGACTCGCTAGTCCCATTCCGCTTTACGTCACTTCCGCTATCCGCGCGGCCCGGGCTCTAAAGGACGTTACCATTTCCGGGTTCGCTGAGGCCGCCTGCGGCGGCGCAGGCGTTGAATTTCGCGAGTGTGCGGTCTATGGAGTCAGTTGGTGTCGGCAGCGGCGCGGAGGCAGCAGGCTGTGTCCGAGTGGGGGCCTTTGCCCCGCCAGTATGTTACCGGGCTTGGCCGCCGCCGCTGCGGCCCACAGATGTAGCTGGTCCTCCCTATGCCGGCTCCGTCTGCGCTGCAGGGCGGCGGCCCGCAACTCCAGCGACCGCCAGGGTGAGTGTCCCGCGCCGGCCGCTGACTCCGCGGAAGCCGGACTGGAGAACCAGGCCGGGCTCGGTGCTGGGCCCCTCGCCTCGGCCAATTGTTCGCCGGCTTGCCCTTCCCCAACCCCACAACCTTCGTTTCGGGCCTCCGCCTTTGCAATTCAGACTGCCCAGCCAGCGGAGGCCCCTGACAGGCCTCGCTGAGCTTGGTCTCGCCTCCAGCCCTAGCACGGCCTCCGCGGAAACTTGGGGCAATTTGCATGCCTAGTTGCCTACAGGAAACCCACCAGTTTGTTGTCAGTAAAACGTTACGTGAACATAGCATTGCCGACCTCCCTTTCCCCTCAGGCATTGAGGAATTGCTGACTCCACAAAGTTCCAGGGTCTTTTGAGCTCACCGACTCACCTTCATTGGGCACTTTTGGCCGAGCAGATTTTCTTACCCTGCTCCTTTTCTCATGCTCCCAACTTGTTTTGTTAAATTTTCTAAGGAGGAAATTGGGGGATGCTACTTAACATTTACAAATCATGCTTACAAATGCAAGTATGAACATCCCACAGTTATTGAATGAGCCCAGTTCCACTGAACAATCTTTTTGGTGAAAAAATGCGTTTTGGTGCTGCGGCAAATTAAAAAGTGGTTATAGAGAGTTTTTATCCCTCTCAACATTCTTTTCTGACTCAAATTTAAATTTTAAATCTGACAGTTTCCAAAATAACATTGAACTTTTAATCAGGTGTACATCCAATTTTGCCATAATTGGCATACCGTAGGTTGCTTGGCACTTGCGAACTTGCAGAAACAATGAGGGAGATGACAACTAAATCCACCCCTAAACTAATCCCCCAGGTTCTTGGGGATGTAAAGTGTTTACAAAAACATTGCCCCAAAATTTATGTCTGAAAAAACTTGTAGCATGTTTGTGACCTCGCAATAGAAGTTGGAAGTTGTAGTCACTCAATTAATAAGTGATATGAGCAACAGTAACGCCTGTGCTGTGAATTATTTTAGGATTTGTTCTTATCTTTTTGCAATAAATGTAAAAACTGGCTCTTAAAATTTCAGAAGTGTTGCTTTTAACAGCACTGTTTTTGGGGCTTTTTGGTATTGATGGAAAAGTATAGTATAACTGTTGAGTTTTTCTGTATTGGAAATATACTTGATTCTCTTGTCAGCAAAATGAATTATCTGGTTATGTACTGTACTCCAAAATCCCCAACTAAACTTTCTAGCATAATTGCTTCTATTGACCAAGCAGTTTTAGCATTTTACACTTCAATTAGGTGTAGTGGCTGTTGAATTTAGTCTAAACTGCTGTTTAAGTGTTGGTAAAAAGGAGTTGAACTAGTGTGATTTGTAATCCCTTATTCTCTGTAGCTGTCATGTTGAAAATTAACGTGCTTTTTGTCACGGCCATCTCACCAGTCAGAATGACTGCAAATTTCTTTGCAGTGTTTATTACCAAAAAATTAAAATGTATTTTCATATTTAAAAATACTTAGTCAATTTTAAAGATAACTTTATTTGTGAAAATTTAGTTTCGATAATACTGTAACAGTTTTTAAAAGAGCAACCATAATTATGGTAAAGCTTTAGAAAAAGAGTACTAATTAAGTTGATGCATGTAAGAAGAAAATATTTGAAGAACTTTGGGGAAAAAATTCTAAAAACAGATGTTTTTCTTTGTCAAATAAAGTTTAGTTTATGCTTCTAAAATTCCTGTGTGGCTGGGAAAAACTTATAAAGAATAAGGAGAGAAGGTACGCTTGAGGGCAACAGTTGCTTTATTTGCATACTTAAAAGTGAGAAATATTTATATGTCAAACTAAGGCTGAAAACGTTTAAAGGTGAAAAGGAAAACAATATTCTGGAGCAGCTCTGTCCAAAAGAAATATAATGCAAACCATATATGTAATTTTGAGTTATCTGATAGCCATGTTTTAAAAAGTAAAAACAGATAAAATTAAATTTTTTATGTTTTATCCAGTATATTACAAATATTTCAACATATAATCAATATAAAAATTACATTATCTTTTTGTACTAAGTCTTTGGAGCCTAATGTGTATTTTACAGTTACAGCACATCTTAGTTCAGACTACCCACATTTCAAGTGCAATAAACAAAGACTACTGTTGTAGGACACAACTTGGCAGTGGGCGGGTGACAGGGTGTCTCAGGCTGTAAAAGAATTTACCAGAGATGAAGGAGAATAGTAAAGGAGTTTATTAGGGTACTCTGCCATAGACAACAGTGGGCCACACAGACAAGAGGTGCCTATGTGAGCACCGAGGACTGGTTCTTGGGGTCTTTTATAAGGTTGTGTTACAAGGTGCCTGATCAGCTGGTGCACAAGTCTCTGATTGGTTGGAGGTAAGAGGTTTAGGGTCTATGAAGGGCAGTGGGGTTTATGACTGATAAGGTGGGCTGAAATGAAACAGCCTGAGCTATTATGAGATTAGGCATTACCTAGGGCTATTAGTTTGTTAGGGCAAACATGCCCAGTAAAGAATGTACTTTATCTGAGAGATCAGAGGCAGACATCTGAGAGCCCAGGAATGGGTGTCATTGGACTTTGAAGGACGTCAGTTGGCCCCACAACTACTGTATGGTAGTGCGGTTATAGAGTTAAGTGTCCCTAATTTGTAAAGAGGTTTTACCAAACAGTGTACATTCCAGTAGAAAAATGGGCAAAGAAAGTGAATGAGTTCATAAAGGGGTTCAAGTGACCAATAAAAAATGCAGAAATGTTCCATATTTACTGATAAGCATAGAAATATAAGGCTAGAGGATTTACTATTCATTGCCTGACTCATGTTATCTAAGTTTTTCATAGTAATACATCATATTGAGTGTGCAGGAAAGCAGGAACTCTCTTACTACTGATTGGGACATGTAGTTGAACGGTGTTTTGGAGGTCAGTTATTCTTTGTAGAAAAAGAACTTTAAAGGTCCATGCCTCTTGACCCAACAAGAGATTTACTTAAGAGACCCACTTAAGAGATTTGCTCTCAATAAATAGATAAATATTAAAGGGTATGTACAAGTTCATTATTAATAGTAGTAAACAGATAACATATACAGTTATGAAGAGTTGAAAACAAATATGTTACGGTACATTTATTATGGACTGATGATAGATGCAAGCATTTAAAAAAATCAATTTAGAAGAATATTTAGTGACACAGAAAAATGCTATTGATGTATACTAGGTAAAACTAGAAAAAATACAGTAAGAATATATACTGTGATGTTAACAGTTTCTCTGAAAAATTTTTTAATTAACCAGTGTTTTTTCCAAATAATCTACAATAAACATATACTTTTTAAATTTGGGGGGGTTATTAGGTTTATTTACTTATTAATTACTATTATTTTTTATTTGACAAAAGTACTGGGAATTGAACCCAGTACCAGGCATGTACTCTACTGCTGAGCTACACCCTCCTCCCAACATATACTTTTAAATAATTAAAAATACTAGTTTCTCTAGTGAACATACATTTTAAAAAGGTTTTTTTAAACTTTTTTTTTATTGAGTTAAAAAGTTTTTTTGACTTTGCATAGAGCACTTGTTTTTTCATGTATTTATGCCTTGCCTCATTTGACGCAGATTTGAGATGAGAGGATGCTCCTTTAAGTACTACATACCAAATCAACACACACATGCTTTTGCCTTAAACATGAGATTAGTAAGTCTAGTTTTAAAATAAAAAGATAGAAATTGACCTGTGTATTTTTTTATTCCTGTCTCTAAATCTGCTAGTATTACCATAAGAAAAGTAAAATGGGAATTTAACTCTCCTTCCAACCCCTTAAATAACTAATAGGAATATTGACAGTTATAAAAGGTCATTTTGACAGGCTGACAGCATAATTCTGTGTAGTTCAAGTTAACGATAGGATTAACCACAGTATGTGCTTCATAGGGTTTTTGTGAGAATCATTCAGTAAAGAGGTGTCAGGTGTTGTAATTGCTGGTGGTGTGGTACTGAACAAGACAGACACCATTTCCACCTTTTTTTGGAAATGAGGAATGAGAAAACTTGTCCAAATGATGTAAAAGAAATAAGCAGAGTAGTAGGCTAGGACATAGCCAGCAGGGATCTTGCCCAGGACTCCAGCTTTTCTGAAGTGGTAGTGACTAAGCCAAGGCATGTAAAGTGAAAATGAACAAGCCAGGTGAAGATCTTGGGCAAAAAGCAATCCAGGCAGAACAAACAGGAACCCTGCAGACCATATTAGTAGTATTCAGGAGCAGAAACAGATGTACTGTGGCTGTGGTATGGTTGGAAATGGCGTGCCAACCATACCGTGTAGAGAATGGGTGGGAAAGGGGAGAGTGTGAGTAAGGAGATCATTAGAGGGCTATTATAGTTATCTCGGCAAACAAGACTGTGGTTGAACCATGATAGTTCGCAGTGGAGATGAAGAGATGTAGATGGCTTTGAGGTATGTTGTGGAATATAAATTATAATGTGATAATACAGGCAGAGCATTTAGGACAATGGCACTTTGTCCTTGATGGTATGTCCTAATGGTAAATCATTAATATATTAGCTTTGGGTTTTTTTTTCAATTCCTAAGCAAATATTAACAAGAATTAAGCAAGGAAATAGAGCTGTGTGCCATGAGCAATACAGGAAGTTGCCAGCATCTTCTATTCTTTGTATACTCA